GGCCGGGGCTTGCTCGCCTTGCCCCCGTCCCGCCGGTGGTCGGAGCGCTGCTGCCACGGGCACCCCCGTGGGGTGGGGGGCACCGAGCCGTTGATTTCATCAAAACTAGGGTCGTAATTCACGGACCTTCGCAGCTCCTTATCTCCCAGACTCTGCTCGTCAGTGCACACCGAGATGCACGCATCCGTCAAAGCCAGTGTCCACGTTTCTTGTAAAGCGGAGCGAATTAGTAAGAGCTATGGTTTTGCTGTGTTTTTATGAATCTAAGTAGCATAGGGCTCTAGCCCTGGTGCTCTGATCCATTGGTACACCCTTTTTCAGTGGAGGCAGGACCTACATGTGATTAGTTGCATGATGTCTTTCTAACCACAGCGCCCAATACAGAAGGATTTGCTGAAATGTGGCCTTCCATCATGGTTACCCTTGATAACCATCTCACTGGACATCAAAGCTCATGAGAAAAGGAGGGAACAATTGCATGGGGAAGAAGGGCAGAATTCATGTCAAGAGGCATCGCATTTCACAGAATCACAGAATCACAGAATGTTTGGGGTTGGAAGGGACCTCTGTGGGTCATCTAGTCCAATCCCCCTGCCGAAGCAGGGCCACCTACAGCAGGCTAGGACCTTGTCCAGGCGGGTCTTGAATATCTCCAGAGAAGGAGACTCCACAACCTCCCTGGGCAGCCTGTTCCAGTGCTCCGTCACCCTCAGAGGGAAGAAGTTCTTCCTCATGTTCAGACGGAACTTCCTATGCTTCAGTTTGTGCCCATTGCCCCTTGTCCTGTCGCTGGGCACCACTGAAAAAAGTCTGGTTGAAAACAGCAAGTGAAGCTGCTGGTGGAGCACCTCAGCTTTACCTCCTCCCTGCTACGGATATATCCTCTCCTAGTCTGCAGGCTGCTCTGTGAGCTGCATGGGCAGACAGCAGCAAAACCGGCGCCCACGTCCCTGCTACCCCATCTGTAGCTCGTCTGTGCCACCTGCAGCACTGTATTCGGAAGATTTTTCAGAGAGCATGTGTAAGTCCACACAACTTCCAGTGATGATGATACTTGTCTTTTCTAGCTCAGTATCCAGTAAGTCATCCCAAATTTTGCAGATGGAAGAAACGCACCTCTTGGTTTTTACTCTTTTTTTTATATCTCTGCCAGTAAGCCACCTTTCTGCTTCTCTAATAATTTCTTTTCCTACAGGCGTTTTCTTGAGCTTCTTCAGACAGTGTTCATTTTGAAGCTCCGTAGCTTTTACATTCCCGCATTCC